AAATGGCATACACAATGCATAATGGACTTACACCAACATGAGTGGACCTCAGCCACACTCACATAAGAGGCCATTAGATGAAAATGAGACAACTCGAGATGCGTACACGTGTGCACGCAAACTGAGGATCGACCCTAAGGCACGAAATGCCACTCTAACAAGACATGACAAAGCATGGAATATGGCATACTAGCATGAAAATTTCAGAGGCAATAAGTGATGCAAAACAGCCCCGAAAGATGGCAAAATGACACCCGATGCATGAAATGGTCCCGAAATGCAAGATTAAGCGCATGAAATGACTTGTAGCTATATCAAGAATGCATTATTTGACTATGACATGTGAAGACAGATTCGAGACAGTCCCAAAATAAGCATGTTCACAGTTTTAATCAAGACCAAACAGCAAACACAAATAGGGAAAAACTAGCATGCAAAAATGGCCCTAAATGTGAGATTATGAAGCAAGTGACAGCTTATGGCCCCAAACAGCTGAGGGTCCTTCTACAATGTTGAAGAGGGACCCAAAATATGATATTTTACAGTTCTAAAAAGAGCCCAAAAACAAACACAGGTATGGCTAAGCTCTCATGCAAGAAATGGGCCAAAAGATGGACAAAGAAGCAAGTGAAGGTTTTTGGCCTCAAACACAAAGGGGCCTTTCAACAATGTTGAATAGGGGCCCAAAATATGGCATTTTACAGTTGATGTCCAGACCTAAAACAGTATATATACAAGCCAAAAATACTATGCAAAATAGCCTACGACCACGAAACGTAGCCTACGGCCATTGAGAGAAGATCTACGAGACCTCTCCCTCCCTTCGAGAAGAGAAAACAGAGCCTGGTTCACAAACCGAGGCAAAGCACACAAGAGCCCCGAAGTCTAGAGGCAAAGCTCGCAGCCGAGACTCTAAAACCTCAGGACGAGCACAATATGCAATATTACCGAGCGCTCAATCGGTGATGTCTGAGTCCTAAGGTCGGTCAAAAATGGGGTGTCTACACCTACTTCAAGTGGTCGGTCGGCCACCCCATTTTCTGGACTTCTGCTTTTGCTGCAACAGACAGTAACAAAGGCAAAACAAAGAATTTTCAAGGAATGTGTGTACTGCTACACTCCTTATCATTTCTCAAGCTCAAAGGAGTGTAGCTCTTAACTCTCAAGCCATCAACCAAGCCTTTTCAATGCATAATGGCTAAAAAACCAAGTTTGTACAAGCTTAATGAATGCACAAATAAGACTCGAAGGATCACCACCATATCACGCATGATCAAGGGTGTCAGTGACTAAGAAAAATGACACATTTCATCACTTTGAGTATGAAACGTCCCATTTTTCTTGTGTTTGGATTAACGTCTGATCCAAACACATTCAATGCAACACAACATTCTTATCTTGCTCAAGTTTTACTTGGTTCATTTTATTTACACATTTTACATTACCGATTAGTCCTTTAATCGATTAAGTCCAAAGTGAGAGTCCTCTAATTGGAAAGAGGGCTTAAGCCACAAGTGCCTTGAGCATGAAAGAGGCCTTGTGCTGTTGGTTAGGAGGAACCCTCAAGAGAGGGTTAAAACCATTAGGCATGAGAGCCTCAAGTTCACACTCAAGCCAACAAGGGGTTCAAGACCACTTTCAAAACAAATTAAAAAGTGAAGAATATAGGGAGGTTGCAGACTTTTCAGTGCTGAAATGACATGAAAAATGATACTACAACATGCAAACAACTCATGTACAACATGTTCAAAAGTCAAAAGCATTAAACTAGTGAAGAACACAACACTATAAGCATGCAACACAATGCTCAAATGGGACAAACAATCCAAAACTGTCCTAAAATAACTTTAAAGAAGTCCTAAAACATGCTTGAAGTAAGCTAAAAATAGCTAGAATGAGAGGCCAACACATAGCACAAACTAGACTATTAAGCACCATTGGACTACAAGACCAGCTCAAAACAGAGCTTAAACAGGTCAAATAATAGCAAAAACATGCTGAGATCAAGTCACAAAATGGTAGAAAAACATGCTCACATGTTAAACTATCTACACATGAAAACAAGACACAAGGAGGGAAGGCCACCCCCTCCTATTTTGGACCTCAAAACATGGTTTTTGTCACTGAAAAACCTCTGAGTTTCAGTGGTAAAAAGGCCCAAAAATTTTGATTTCAAGGTGATGAGAAATGGTGTAAAAAGCTTAACAAGCTAAAGGACAAAAGGGGGGACAACCCCCTAACTCACAAAGACTCAAACCACTACTTTTAGGGCTGAAAAACAGAACTCTTTACATGCCAAAACTAGCCTTGAAATGGTGGAAAAAGATGGCAAAGCAAGTATGAAAAACAAGCTTAAAGGGAGAGAGTTATAACTCTTGAAGCACAACACAATTTTAGGCAACAAAACCAAGCAAAACCACCTTAAGGAGTTCCAAGAGAGCCTCAAGCAACCTCAGCCCAAAGCTCAACAACTTTGATTAAGGGTTGATAGGTTAAAGTTTGATGTATGCAAGCTTCTAAGCACAAAAGCTCTAGAGAGAGAAATTTCGAGAGAGAGGATTATAGAGAGAGAGGCTCCCCAAAATATTTCACTCCTAAATTGTTCTAACCTTCCAAACCATAAAGAAGGCTCTCTATATATAGACAAATGCAAGCTCAGTTCGAAAATATCTGATTTAGAGACAGCTGGAGCATTTGGAAGACAGCTGGAGCAAAATATTTGTAAATTCTAAGCTTTCTAGACACTTGTGCCGATGGACGACCAGCCACTAATGGTGGCCGACAAGGATCACTTCTGGCCGACCTATGGTCGGCAAACTCCATTTGTGGCCGGCACACTCCCCCAGTGGCCGACAGCAAAAACTAGTTTTGGTCCCGACTTCAAACAGACATATTTCCTTTATCTGGACTCCTTTTCAGGTCATTCTTGTGCCTAAATTGAAGCTTCGGAAGTATTCTTTTCAATGGGAGCAGCATCACGTCAAAATTCCAAGTGTGCTAAGAGATATCCCTCTTTTAGTGAAGACTGCTCAGTTTCGGTCTAACCGGATTGATGCCTAACTTCAACTAGCCATATCTCCCTCATCCGGACACGGCTTTGAGAGATTCTTGAGTGATAAATGAACCCCAGAAGTCCACTTTCCAATGGTGGTAGCCTCATAGCTGAAATCTAAGTGTACAAATGGATAGGCCCAATTTAGCGAGGGTTGCTCGACTCTCTTTTAGCGATGAATCTTCTTCCCCAACTTGGTTTCTTCCGTCTCCTCCAATTTTCTTCAACTCTAAAACTCTAAACAAGATGTTTTAAAGATTTTTTCAAAGAGTTCACCTCTTCTTCATGCATTTCTACTTTGTCCTTGCTCAGTTTACCGAAAAGCGCAACATTTAACAAAATGCGAGCCTCGAAACATCGTAGGAACTTTGTTTCAAGCATATTTTGAAAGAGAGGGTTTTAAGGTCTAAAAATCATTTTAGTCAAAATGGTTTTGGTCCAAAAATGGGGTGCGAGGTTTGGGATTTGATGCTCTCTTTGCTGAAGAAATCGAACCTTTGCACTGCACAACTTTCATCACTAAGTAAGCGATCAGTAGCGGCCAAGTCTTAAGGGCGGTCAAAAATGGGGTGTCTACAATAGTGTTCTCATTCATAAGATCCAGATCTTCTTCGGTTACAACCGACTTGAAAGCAAAAGAAAAAGAGGACTTGGACAAGACCTTGGCATCTGGGTTATCAACACCAGGAATACCGGACTTGGACTCAGAAGAACCGAAATCTGATTCTGACTCCACAAACTTTGTGGAATCAGATTCTGGCTCATCACCCGACTCGAAACTAGACAAGTAGCCCTCCTCCAGTTGCCAGATAAGAGATGGTGCTTCAGATGCATCCAAAATGCTGCTAGATGGGTTCACACCCGGTTGGTCCCCGATCATGGAGATGGCAAGGTTATCCCCAAGCTCTTTGAGTCAGCCGTAGGATTTGCAACGGGACATACCAATGCTGCCCTTACTCCAAGCTTGCTGTTGTCCGAGTCATTTTCCATGCTTTGTTCCTTCAGTACTTGGTCCAGCCTTTTCCTCGGTATCACTATCTTATAATTGCAGATCAAAGAAGATTCTGAACCCAGGAACACGCTGCTTTGTAGAATTCATCCAAGGCTCAGGAAAGCCACAAAAGGAAAAATCTTTTCCCTCCCGAACAAAGCGACCATTCAACGTTCCCTGGATTGGCCTGTGAATGAGCTCGTAGTGTTTCCTAGCCTGCTTGGCTTTGGCTCTTCCTGCCATTTCTATTCTTTTCCTTAAAAGTGGCTGGCACATCCAGGACATGGAACTCGACATCCTATTGAGCTGGGCCCACTTGAACTCTGATTTGTACCGTGTCCATAACCTCTCTACTCGTATTGTCATATGCCTGAATTACTTGGGCTATGGGCACAAAGTCTATTGGTCTAAGGCCGATGGCATAAGCTATGCGGGAAGGACAAACATTGATAGCTGAACCGGTGTCAACCAACACCACTGGTACCCATTTTTCCTTGCATTCAACAGATATGTACAGGGGTTTGTTGTGAGCTGAGCCTTCCGGTGGAAATTCTTTGTCAGAAAAGGTTAGGGTTAGCACGACACCACCTGGGAAGACTAATCCCACAAGTTGTTCAGGGGTAGTATCAAAGAACAGTTTGGCTTTATCCATTGCTGACAGTACAGCCTGTCAATGCACCCGGGAGGGCATAAGAAGATCCCAGATTGAGATGTCAGCTTGGATTTTCTTCAGTTGTTTCAACACTGCCTCTTCTTCCAGCTACTTCTCTTTCTATTTCTCAACCTCTCTCTCTTTCTCAGATGCCTCAGCTTGATCTAAGTGTGGTGGCATGAAATACCGCCCATTTCTTGTCATGTGATCAATCTCCTCAACATACCATGTGTTATCTAGAAGGGACTCACCCTAGTCTTTGTCGATGTGAGCCAAAAATAGATCGTCATCCTCCCACCATACACCTCCGGCAACCGACAAACAGTTGTCCGACTCCGTTTGTATCACTCTGACATTACAAGTATCCCCCATATGGTGTTGGGCCAGCACAACTTTTTGCTTGTCTTCACCCCTCTCTTGTTCAAACTACTTTAGTGCAGCTTCTTGTTCTGTGTCCAAAGTACTCACAATACCTAGTTCTTGAGCTGAACTTTCCACACTGGTGTTCTTCGACAGTTTTCCATTTTTATCGGTCATTCCGGCCACTACAACAATTCTTGCTCCCTTTTCTTCTAGTTTTGTTTCAGTTCCTTCCTCTTTGTCCGGTTCATCACTCAACCACCCAGAGTTGTCCGTCGATCCATTCGAATCGAACCAGCCAATTTGCACATCCCCTTGATCTTGATCGTCAAAGAATTGCAGGTTGTCTAAGCCCTCTTCTAGCTCTGCCAGATCATCTAAACCTTGGCTCGGGCCATCCTCCCTAACCACATTGACCTTCACTACATTTGGCAATACCACTTCTGGCTTGACTTGATCAATCAACATAATATAGCGGCTTGGACCATACTCCCCCTCAGACAAGTTCTTAGAGCACTCAGGCAATGGACTCATACTTTCCTCTAAGGCCAACCTCCCTTCTACTGCAACTGTCACCACCACAGGCTTAGGTTGAAGTGCGGACATGTCCATCATGCACAAGTCTGTGCTTTCAAGAATGAACACTGTCGGTCTGGGTAGGTGGGAAGGGGTAATATATACGTTGGGGTCGTAGGGGATGGCCAGTGTATGGATTAGGTTTAGATTGTAAGGTGGGGGAACTTGATTGTGGGCTAGGAGAGGGTTAGTAGTTACATTTGCTTTTTGGGATGGTGTAATCACCTTATTGTCAATAAGGTCTTGTATCTTATGACACAATCTGAAGCATTGGTCGGTGTCGTGACTGTGCTACTGGTGAAACGCACAGTACTTGGCTGGGTTGTGTTTTGGTGAGAGATGATCAGGTAGCGGGAGAGGCTCTAATGGTTTGAGGTGCCCTTTTTTAATCAGCACACTCATGGCTAGGGATAAAGGCATGTAGAGTTGGGTAAAGGTCCTCTGGGATCGGGTAGGGTTGTTTGAAGTTTGTGGAGTTGTATTGGCAAAGGGATTAGCGGTCTTGGTTGTGGTCATGACAATGCTCATATTCAATGGTCACGTAGCTATGCTACCACTGGTGGTTGCATTGGAACTGGGCACAAAAGGCCTCTTGGCCTACTCTTTCTCATGAGTAATATGCCCTTGTTTCATGGCATCTTTAATCTGAACCCCCGTGAATGTGAATAAAGGTAGGATGATCATTTTCTGTAGCAACTTCCCGTGTAGATTGCGGACTACCATCCTTATATGGTGTTTCTCGAAAGGACATGTAGTCATCATTGAAGCTTTAGCCCTCCACCTCGTCGCGCATTCTGAGAAGCCCTCCTTTGGCTCCTAGCGCGTTACTTCGAGTTCACAAGTTGTGACCTCGATTTGTGTGTTGTACGAGTACTGTGCGACGAAGGCCTCGGCCATTTCCTTCTAACTCTGCTTCACAGAATCCTCTAGCTTCGCATACCATATAACTGCTATTCCCAACATGGTTCGGCCAAAGAGTGAGAGCTTTTACAGTCTGGTAAGGCCCATCAGGCCCATCGGCCACAAGATGTCTGAAAACAGTTGAAGATGAACCATGGGGTCTCCGAAACCATCGAATCTATCGATATGTGACATTTTGAACCAATCCGACAATGTCACTGCGGAGTCGGTATACCCATCTTCTATGTCGAGAATAGAATTAACACACTGTGCCCTCTTGAAGAGCTTCTCTAGTTTGTTGATCTTAAGCACAGTCGAGTCAACCTCAAACTCAAATGGAGCCTGGGTTTGATACACAGGTTCTTTGGAGGCTTGTGGTGGGATCGGCTCTACTGGATTGCCCTAATCCTCAGTATGGGCATTAGCAGGATGGGCTGTGGCTCCGGGCATTGGGATACTCGTAAGAGGTACATGAGACGTAAAAGCTGCTGTCGGTTGTGGCTGTTGTTGTTGTAGCCTGTTTATTACCTTAGCCTGACGTGCTGTGACCTCGGCTTGACGAGCGGCACCTTGCTACATGGTTTTAACTATTTGCTGAAGGTAGTGAATCAAGTCCTCCATACTGACCGAGGGATACTATGCCATCGAAATGGGCGACTGATCTCATACTAGACTAGATGTAGAAGACTGTCCCTAAGTCTGACTAGATGCAGGTGAAGTGAAGGGTGACTGTTGTAGAAATTGGACCAGTGAAGTTTGTCGGACTCTTCTCCGTTTCGTAATCACCGAGAGTGAAATAAACACGGGCTGTCTCCTAACAAGATCTCTGGCTCTGTACAGCCTTCTGACACGGGTCTAGAGCGTTTGAAGGATATCCGAACTGTCTGAAGCTATGGTGTTATACTACCTAGCAAAAAGAAATAAAGCAAAAAAGAAAGCAACAATCAGAAACTGCACAACACCTTAGCTCAGATGTTAACAACACACAGATGTAATCAAAGCTCTAGGACTGCACTCCACACTGAATTATGTCCCTAATACTGATACCACACTTGCAACTGATACGTACAATCCTGTACAGTTTCACTATAAAGCCCATACTAGTTAAGTGAGAGCTAAAACACACTTATGAGGGGGTAGGGTTACCCTATCCTAGTTTCGTTAGGAGCTAGGGTTCACTATTCAAACAAAGCGGTTTTATACAATCCTGTATTCAGGTAAGCATCCTGCCCTAGTTTGGAACAGTCTCTATGGCTTTTAAAATGCAACTAGGCCAAATGGTCAAAAAGGTACCTCAGCAAGACCACCTAATATACCTCTCACACCTAACATCGAGAAGTGAAAGGAGGATCAAACGGTATAGCGGTAGTCCAGATCTAAGGGTTATCTTCCTATCATGGCAGAGCCTGTGACCGGTCAGCCTTTTGACAAGCTTTTCGAGCAAGCCTCCAGGAAACCATCCAGGAATAGCAAATGGCAAACACAGTGACTTAAGCGCATCAATGCAAATGCAATGCAAAGAAACATATAAGTGTAGATAAAATTTCATATCATGAATTTTGAGTCAAGTTCTCTAAATTCCCTAGCGGAGTCGCCAGAAACTATAGCTCAACTTTTTCGCGTCCCCTTTCGGAAGTCAAAATAAGCCCTACAGTTCGGACTCCTGCAGTTCTGAATTCGATCTCACAAGTGCAATGTGAAATAGATAATCACTAAAGAGTCCAAATCCAACAAATCTTTTGAAAAATCAAATCAAATTTCCAAAAATGGACTGCTTTGCCAGATACAAAGTCACCACCTAAATATTTTATTTTTGAGAAATTTAGGAAACCCATGACTCGTGCCAAAGGCCATGTGTCCGTCATCACCAAGATTGTCTCAGCTCGGGAACTTAGGTACAAACGGGGAAGGTCATGAATAAATTGAGCACCCCCACTCGCCTGATCAAAGATCGGCCTCTACTAATCATGATATGAACCTTATTTACATTATATGCTCTTGTCCAAGTTATTAGGCTAGCATTACTATGTGATGCACAAACACAAGTATAGACTAACTTTTAATGAATTAGAACACTTGATTAATGTTTGTTTTGAAAATTATTTCGAAATATGTACCACTTGAAAAAGCGATCTCATATGTACATTACTCAAATTATTCCAATTCAAGCAACAAGCCTTCATCCACAGCTATTCAAGTAGTTTAACACTTAAGCAATTAGCCTCATGGCAAGTATGCTAAACATGGCAACAATCACACTCATGCAACATGCTAAAGCGAGTAAAGGCTCACCTAGTACTCTAAGCCAAAAAAAGAATAAGTTAGAAAAATGCATGATCCTATCTATGTAATATGACTAATGCAACACATGCGATATGCAATCTAAATAGGCTCGGCTACTTAATCATGGCATATGGAGCAATTAAATAGCATGCGGTCTAAGCACGTATTCAAATAAGTATTTAAACTAACAATACAGTTAGAATGATAAACCGAGTGTGGCACGCCTTTTTTCCGCGCCCCACGTTTTAGAAAGGTTTGAAAAGAAAGGCCTCATAGTTCGGACTCCTGCGGTTTTGAATCTAATTACACAAGTGCAATGTGAAATTGATAAACACCAAAGAGTCCAAATCTGACAAATCATTTTCAAAAATTGATTTTAAATCAAATAATTCCAAAATTGGATTGCTTTGCCAGATATAGAGTTGCCACCTAAATATTTTATTTTAGAGAAATTTAGGAAACCTTGACTCATGCCAAAGGCCACATATCTGTCATCACCAAAGTTGCCTCGGCTCGAGAACTTAGGTACGAGAGGGAAAGGTCATGAATTGAGCACCCCCCGCTCGCCTGATCAAAAGATCGGCCTCTATTAATCATGATATGATTTTTTTATAAACATTATGTGTTCTTGTTCTGGTTATTAGCTAAAATTACTATGTGATGCGCACAAGCAAGTATAGACTAGTTTGCTCAATTTAGAACAATTCGACTCATGTTTGTTTGCGAAAATGGTTTGAATTTGCCAACTTAAGTGGGCTTAAAAGATGCGAATTTGCAACCAAACTTAGTGGGCTTAAAACATGATTTGCCACTCAACAAAGTGGGCTTAAAACATACATTTGTTGAATCGTTTTAACTCAAACAACAAGCCTTCATCCACA